AGCAGCAGCAGGAGTCGCAGTAGCAGTAGCAGTAGTAGTAGTAGTAGTAGTAGTAGTAGTAGTAGTAGGTAGGTAGTACCAGTAGCATTAGTAATGCTAGTATGAGTAGTACGAGTAGTACTAGTACTACTCGTACTAGTAGTACTTGTAATACTCGTAGTACTAGTAGTGTTAGTAGTACTTCTGGTATGAGTAGTATTAGTAGTACTCGTAGTAGCAGTAGTACCGGTAGTACTCATAGTAAGTTCTGCAGGAGCAGCAGGAGCCGCAGCAGTAGTAGAGTAGTAGCAGCAGGAGTAGCAGGAGTACTAGTGGTAGGAGTAGTAGGAGTCGGAGCAGGGGTAGGAGTAGGAGTAGGAGGGGTACTAGTGCAGGAGTAGGTAGGAATAGGAGTAGGGAGTAGGAGTAAGACGAGGAGGAGGAGAAGGAGGAGGAGGAGGAGCAGGAGTAGTAGATGGGAGGGCATGATTCGGCATGATGATGGTGATTATGATGATGGCAATAAGCTCCTCGTCAGACACCACCTCTCCATTATGGTCATCTTCGCCATCATCGTCGTTGGGATCATCACCACCTTTACCATCATCATCACCACCATCATCATCTGATGATCATCGTCATCATCATCATCATCATCATCATCACCTTCACCATCATCATCATCATCACCACCATCATCATCATCATCATCACCAGTGTGTTCGTCATAGACTGTTCCGTTTGATCAACGCAACATTTGATGTGAAGGATGCGGCATGGTTGTTCTGGTGGGGGTTGCGAGCAATAAGCGGAAGAACGGTTTGGTTTGCTTCTGCGCATTGTGGCCACAGGGTTTCGATCACCAGGTTTTGATTAAGAAATCTCTTGACTGATGGCAGGTCCGTTGGGAGCACTCTCCGGAGAGAGCAGAAGAAGAAGAAACGCCAGCAGGAAGGGGGAAGGTTTTTGGAAGACCACAAGGGTTTTGCCTTGTCAGTGCTCAGCTTCAGGCCCAACTGTGTCAAGAGCAGACATTCGGATGACGCTTGAAGTCTCCTAAAGCCTAGCAGCGCTCGCAAAGGTCCGTCTAGGCATCTCGTCCGTAGTGGGTGCAGGCGGCTGAAGTAGCGAATCGAAAACACAGTGTCGAGCTTCCCTTTCTGTCGGCCCATCTACAGGATGCCCAAAATTCCCGAACCATGACCATGTGTCTGTAGGTTGTTCGACGTATGGGATGTAGCAAGAGAGCCGAGCATGCCAAAGACTACGGTAGGTAAGTCCAAGCGTGTACACACTAGAAGGGCCTTGTCAATTGATGTCCGATCAAGATCTCACAAGCTGCCCCAAAAAAAACTTATCATCGCAAACCTTTAGATGGACATCAACTAAACACCTCGCGAACTCATCAAATCGATTGCTTCAAAACTGTCATGACTCTGTCCCGTCATCAGTTATAGCTATAAATACAAGTTGTAACGCTGTCGACAATAATACATATATCAAACGTGATCATTCGTTTTTGCTATGATGGGTTTTTATTCCTTCTAGATTCTAGCCATCACGGCGGGGAAAAAACGACCGGCAGCTCTTGAATTTCGGGCATCTTTTGGCATTAGGGTGCGTTCGCAGTAAGGGCTGCTCTTGGACTGAAAACAAAAAACCCAAAATATTCCTTAGCGAAGTTCCGGGACGAGGTCAACAGTCCGAAATTTAGCCAAAAGCAGCCCGGTAACCAACAGTAGCCAGACCTGGTGATACGACGAATTTCGATCGGCAGCTTTTTGATTCAAGGCAGCTTGGCTGTCTTTTGCACTTAGGATTGCGCCCATAAAGACAAAAACTTGATTCGACACTCAAGTGGCCAGAGCTTTTGCATTTACGGCTGCTTTTGCAAGTGGTGCCCCGGCTGCTTTTGCAGGCCGGTGCCCATAGGGAAGCTGTTTGCTTTCAAATCGAGATTGCCGAAGGCGCCAGGCTCTTTAAACCACCATGCTCGAACCCGAAATCCAAAGCCCTAACTTCTATAAGCCCGAAGCCTTAAATGCCCCAAGCCCTAAAGCCTAAACCCTAAAGCCTAAACCCTAAAGCCTAACCCCTAAACCCTGAACCCTAAACCGTAAAGCCATGAAGGAGCTTCGCGGCTTTCTGACCAAGCACGGCTTCGGCGAGGATGTCAACGCGCCGAAGCAGCCGCAAGGTTGCTTCTTCCCCTTCCTCAGGAGCTCCCAGGGGCCCAAAAGCACAGCTCCTTTTTTTTTGAGAGTTCTTTCGAAGAGTTTTTATAAGGTAGATCTCCGGGTTTAGGGTTTAGGATTTGGGGTTTAGGTTTCTTCACCTCAGAACTCAGCTTTGTTTGCTGGATGAGAACCATTGCAAGTGGGGCAAGTCATAACTTGACAAGCTGCTGTATCCTTAGCCGTCGTACCCTTTCAGAAGTTGCTGCTGCATGGGTATCTTTGATATTGGGATAGCGTGAAGGTATCGTTCCGCCGAGCATACCTGCAGGTTCGTGTTTGTGAATTTTGGCACATCGGCACCTACCAATTTCCATTTTTGTGAAAGGTGTCGCAGAAAATGTGAAACTTTCGACCGATCGTCATAGCACCCAAGCCTTCTTGGACATCCTTCATGGCAGTCCGAAGTCTAAACCCAACTTTGTCAGAAGAAAATCTGCATGTTCCCGAAGGAGGGAGACCCTGTACCCCCTGCACGTCGCAGCGAAGCTCGGCGACGGGGCCATGGTCAGGGCTTTGCAACTTGATCAAAGAGATTTAGGTTCTAGGCTCCTGCCATACAAGTCGACATTCTGATATGCCTTGCACTAGTGGACTTTGATTCGAGGGCTAGTTTGTCTGGTGATGCTTGCAAGCGTTGCTGACTGAAACCTCGAGTACGATCTGCCGTCGACAGAGGGTGGACATTGCTTGTAAAATGGCTTCCTGTCGCATGCTCTCAAGCAGCCGCCGGCCGAAGTCTCAGGAACGTGTCGCGGAAGGAGAGGGCATAATTTAAATCATCCACGTCATGCCCGCAAAACCTCTGAAGGCTCGCGGAGGGCGCGGACCCAGAACAGCGGTCATCAAAGGGGCGAACGGCCGAGGACCTGGCCAGGCAAGAGGAACCTTTGCTGCACTTTTTTCGTGAAGAGAAGAAGTCAAGAAGTTTCTGCGAAAGGACCCCCGTGTTCTGCTTTCGCTGCACTGCTCTGTATGGAAATGTATGGAATTATAAGAGAGGATTACAGTATGCCAACGTAGACCCCCAAGCAGTGATGGAGTACCTTGACGACCATACCTGCACGAAGACAACGAAGACAACGACGACTGCGACGACTGCAACGACCGCGACGACCCGCCAGGACTCCATGTCCAAAATGCTTTCCCCTGCTTGGAGGTTCATGGGTAGTTATAAGTGGGTTTATAAGTAAGGTAACTATAGTTATAACCCATATTAGGGGACTTATAACCATACTTATAACCTCCAAGTGGAGGGATTCAGAGGCATGTCCACATGGCTCTATTCAAAGACCAGCGGGATGCAGGATTACGGCCCAAATGATTCTCTGAAGCACTGGTGAATAAAATCCTTCCTGCAAGTACTGGCGGGAGTCAAGAACATGGTGCTTATTCTCTCTGTATATTGGCGGGATTCAGAATGACGGCCAAAATGTTTGGCCTCAAGTACCTGTGGGACTCAGAGTTGTCGACGGCTCAGGCAGCGGACTTTCACAATACATCCGCCGTGTGCCCTATAATGTAGTCAGTTATTCAATTTTTCCCCCAAACCTTCTTCCAATTGCTAAGACCTCCAGAGTGCGTACTGGACCATGTCAGGATCGAGATGGCAGCCATGTTGAGGTATCCTGGAGAGCAGCATTGGCCTTCTGTGCGGTTGACTGGCGCAAGATCGCGCATCCCTTGCACCCGGCTGTTGAGACCACCTGACAAGCCTTCTTTCTGCGTGTTCCTGTGTTGTAGAAGTTGACTTCGGGTATATCGGTATATCTTGTGCAGGTTCTGGTCTTGCTCGAAACACCGGTGCGGTTCGTGAATGCTCGGGCTGCGAAGGAGTACCTCGGTGTGGTGTGCCATTGAGAACTGCCACCCTGTAGCTATCGGCCGTGCCAGATTCAGAGTTCTTCAAGGCTTGTGAAGGTGCGCATGCAAACCGACGAATCTCAGGCTGATGGTGGGGATCAGCTTGACCTGCGAGACGAAGCGCCTTTCCTGGAATGCCAGCTCTATGCACTTCTTCAATGACTTCCTTGTGTGGTGCTTCATTCTAAGGATTCCATGAATCGCCGAGATGCTGCTAGTTACTTCCGAAAGAAGTTTTGAAGCAGACTCTCGGCTTAGGGGCCCGGCCGCTTTGACAGCAGGCTCCAACTTTCGGTCATTGCGATGCGTTCGGTGCGCAGCAGCCCTGCAAGATTTTCGCGGACCTTCTTGCATAGTCTTGGATGTTGAAGTCTCTTGCAATCTGGTACTGTTTCTGAGCGAGATGGACCGCTTGATGCTGCCCCCGCTGCCGGGAACATGGGGTGTTTATATTTCTAATATACATCATGTACAAACGGATTGTGCCCGGGTCTGGCTCACCATTGCTGTTGCGTTTCCAGGCACACGAAAACCGAAACTTGGTAAATGTGCGCCTCGCGCCCAACTTTGATTCTTCCACATGGCAAATTCACCAGCGAAAGCGCGAGCGCGAGAGTATATGTTCGGGTGTACTGCATAGATACGTATACCTTCCTGATATATACTCACGCGCATGTCATCTGACAGTATACGTGCAGGCACACATTGGATACGAATACACAGCCAAACAACAAGGATTCCTTGTTTGCTCCCCTTCCTGGAAGGCGAGCAAACAAATAAATCAACGTATCTTACAAAAACTGGGAAGAAAGATAGATCATCAAGAAATTGCAGGTATGTATGTCCGTATGTGTACATACATACAAAATATAGAAAGTATATATATATACATATATATATATATATATATATATTCATGCAAACATACATACATACATACATACATACATACATACATACATACATACATGTAGCTATCTCGCTATCTCCCCCTCTCTCTCTATCTCTATCTGTATCTCCATCTATCTCTGTCTCTATCTCTCTCTCTTTACCTGTCTATCTATCTATCTGTCTGTCTATCTATCTTTTTATGTATCCGTCTATCTGTTTATTTATCTATCTATCTATCTATCTATCTATCTACCTATCTATCTGTCTGTCTGTCTGTCTATCTGTCTATCTGTCTATCTGTCTATCTGTCTATTGTCTATCTGTCTATCTGTCTATCTGTCTGTCTATCTATCCATCTATCTATCTATCTATCTATCTATCTATGTATTTGTCTATCTATCTATCTATCTATCTATCTATCTATCTACGTATGTATCTATCTACGTACCTATCTATCTGTCTATCTATCTATCTATCTATCTATCTATCTATCTACGTACCTATCTATCTATCTATCTATCTACCTATCTATCTGTCTATCTATCTATCTATCTATCAGTTTTCCTATCTACCGAGGTATCTATATACCGACCCATCGATCTATCGATCCATTATCTATCTGTCTCTCTATCCATCTTCCTATCTATCTTTCTGTCTGTCTCTCTGTCTCTCTATCAGTTGGTCTGTCTTTCTATCTACCTGGCTTTCTATCTATGTGTCTCTCTGTTCGTCTCTCTGTCTCTCTACCAGTCTGTCTATCTTTGTATCTATCTGTCTTTTCATCTATGTGTCTCTCTGTCTGTCTCTCTGTCTCTCTGGCTGTCTGTGTCTGTCCGTCTGTCTGTCTGTCTGTCTGTTTGCGTCTGTTTGCCTACGTCTGCATACTATCCATCTATCTATCTGTCTATCTGTCTATCTGCCTATCTAGCTGTCTATCTACCTGTCTGTCTATCTGTCTATCTGTCTATCTGTCTATCTATCTCTCTATTTATCTATCCATCCACCAATCTCTCTATCTATCTATAGATCTATCTTTCTATCCATTTGTTTGTCTACCGTTCTATCTCACTCATGTGCCCATCTACCTGAATCTAGCTGAATTTGCCTGTCTATCTATCTATCTATCCACCTACCTGTCTATCTCTCTATCTGTTTATCTATGTATCTATTTATTCATTTATCTATCTATCTGTTTATTTATTCCTTTATCTATTTACTATTATTTATTTATTATCTATTTACGATGTATTTATAATTTTTGGTCTGTCTCTGTATCTCTCTCTCACTCTCTCTCGCTCTCCTTCCCTGTCCATCTCCATGCATCTCGCTGCCTATCTATATCTATCTGCCTATCTACGCATCTACCTGTTTGTCTGTCTATCTGTCTATCTGTCTGCCTTTCCGTTCTAGCTGGCTACCTCTCTGGCCACCTTCATCCATTCATCTGTCAGTCCTATCTCATACACCTCTCTATCTGTCTATCTTTCGACCTATTTCGATCTATCTATCTCTTTATCTATCGGCCTTTAATCTATCGATATATCGCTCTATTGATCGATCTGGTCAAAGATCCACCTATACTACACATCTATTTGTTTGTCTATCTGTCTGTCTGTCTGTCTGTCTGTCTGTCTGTCTGTCTATCCATCCGTCTATACACGTACATGCATGCACACTGGTAATAGGTTGCATTCTGTGTTGCTCGGAGGCAGGTGTATGTGCCAGGCCTGTCCGGATTACCTATCGAAGGTTAGCAGAGAGCTTGGAATATCAGCAAGCTGTGAGCACGACCGTTCTTTCAGTTCGACAGCATCGAAAACTTCTTTTGTGTTTGGTCACTTTCTTACCTGCCGCTTCATGTGGTCGCAGTCGACATCTCCCTCCTCCACTGACGATGTCATGATGTTGGATTGCACACTCAAAGTTGGTACTGGCTTTCACGTAGGCCGGCTAGTGCAGGTACGAGCATGTTCCTTACTGTGTCCATGGGCAGAGATACAAGAACTGCCTGACTGCCTTGTCTGCGACTGCACAAAGCGGGGCTGTAATTTGCAAATTTGCAATGCGCCAGAGGTGCACTGTTTCGAAGCGGTCGCCCGAACTCAGCCATGATCCCTACGCTTCAGGAGTGTATGGCGAAGTTGCACAGAAGGGAGCACAGTGTGGAGATGATCATGTGCAAAGGACTTGTCGTCAGATTGAGCATCCGTCAGCCTTTAGGAATTGTAATCCGAGGGACGCTGGCAGGGCTCCGACTTTTCATGAGGTGAACACTCTTCCCATGCATCAGTTTCCGATTCGGACAGCCACGATGTGGGCATGGCGACAACTGCAACAGTGCAGCAACGTTGCGTCACACTGGCTCTTCGACTGCGCTGCCATTTTCCAACGCCGCTATTTGGCCCCCCCCTACCGCGGAGAGTCCTGTATGTCTAGCAAATCAAGGTGTGCCTGTGATGCTGAATCTCCACGGTTGGATCGAAGAGCATGGAGCTGACGTGATGATGCAACAACAGTAGTCAACTACAGATACTACAGGCGGAATCCGATGCAGTTCAGCGAGCAAGACTGCTGATACTTGGGGCCGAAAAAACTGGGAGCTGAGTGCCAAGCCGTTGGTCTGATTTCAATGCCCCCTCACAACACCCAGTCTTGGTTGAACACGTCTTCGAAAGCTGTACTACGAGTTGGGTCCGCCTCTTGCCGCCGGAACCAGAAGATACTTAGACCTATAGTCGTTTCGATCCACGAGGCACAGCCGAACAAAGCCAAAGGCATGCTGAACGGTCTCTGAAGAACATCCAAGCAGACCAGTCAGCATTTTCCTGCCTCCACGTGGCCTCTTCATCCCCCATTTGATGGTCTTGAGGGGAGAGCGCAATTGATGAAGTTGTCACTGAAAGTCCTGAACGATTCCTTGTACTGAGCGGGCTCCTCTTTGAGACCACTACCTCGTCAAAAGTTCCGGACATGCCTGTGCTGCGCTAAACCGCAGTGACAGGAAGTGACGGGCGGGATTGCCAAACCGTTTGAGAGAACCTTCGTGCATGTAACGGCTGTCGGTTTGGATACTTAGACGAGGCACAGTTTGAACGGTTTGCAGTCTCCTCTAAGAGCCTCCTCCTGCAAATGCCGCAGTCGCAGAGTCTGTGCACGCCTCGTGCTGCTTCGGGGCAGCCAACCTGACTGCCTTCACCAGAAAACCGGTGTTCAGGGCCCTAGGCCCAGGCTCAGGCTTATCTTTTAGGCGCAATTTTGGTGCCGATTCGCTCTTCCGCTTCGGTGACAGGTTCGATTGCCGCAGACGCACGGGTTGTCTCCGAGTCAGCAACAAAAGGATTCGCTGCGACTTGCTTGATGCGCTTTTTTCTCATCATTACTGAGTATCCTTTTCATCATGATTGTCACTCTTACATGGGTGAGTATCAGGGTGACTCTAAAGGTCACAATAACCGTCACCATGTACCTTAACTAATCAACTAAGGGCAACTACCTTAAAATGCTCGAACATGCCCATCTATTCCTACAGATGATGCCAACACATATATAACTTCAGTACATAGTATCTCAATTCGAATGCATTTCTCGTTTTATACAAACCAGCACACTACACCAGATTCACAGGTCACCAGACAAGCTCGAGGCTTCATTGCCAGGCAAGCAGTGCTGCTCAATTTCAGTGCTGCAGCAAATTTCCACGGCAAGAAAGGGAAACGAAGTGAAACAGAGTGCCCCTATGGTGCACCTAGGTTTCTGGACCTGTGCGGGAAGTGAGTCGACATTGCACTATCTCACAACGAGCTGTCTAAGCTGTAATGTCATCACTTGGCAAATCTCTCGTTGCAGCGGGCTTTCCCTCTTGAGCCAAAAGGAGGACGGCCTACGATATGTTGCGCCGCCATGGCCTCTGTTGTGTGTAGCTTCGCATTGCTATCCGTGCTGACGCTGGCGAGCGCCTGGGGCTTATTAGCACCCGCACAGAAGTCAGATGGTGCTGGAAACAGCAATCTCAGCCGAAATCGTGGATGATAGAGCTCAAGAAGCCCGAATCCCAAACCCCGAGAAATCGTCATTGGCTGCCTGCCTTCTGACTTTTAGGCCTATGTTTTTCATCCCTCACAAGGCAGTGAGGTTGCCTCCTCGAGCTTAGCGTCTTGACATTCGGACCATTAATTACTTTGGGTTGACAGTCAACTTGTCCCGTGACAAGTGCCGCCCCTGACCGGATGTGGATGGAGTGAATTTTCTAGAAACCCTAAACCCTAAACCCTAAACCCTAAACCCTAAACCCCAAACCCACACCAGACTTTCAGTCTTTGTGCTTTGTGCTTCATCCATCGGCCTTAAGCTCGCAGTCTGCCTGAAGCACCCAGAGAGCCCAATACCCCTTAATTAAGGAATATACTTTAAATCATAATATTCAGGCCCCTATAATTTAAGGTATATTCCTTAAACCATAACATTAAGGCCCCTATAATTTAAGGTATATTCCTTATTTAAGGGGTATGAGGCTCTCTGGGCAGGTACCTGTGCGACAGCAATTCCGGAAGGGCCCGCCGAGGCGAGTCATCTCTCAGTTCATTGACTCAGCCAGGAGCTCCTGCGGCGCAGCCACTACTGCTACTACTACGACAACTACTACTAGCCACCCCCCCTACCGGGCTGGGCAGTGGCAGCCTCTAGGCTCCCTAACTGCGGCAGCTGGAGAAGATGCAGGGGCTCACGCTCCCTATCTGTGACTGCCGTAGAAGTTGCAGAGGCTCACTTGCTTTAACTGTCACAGTCGGTGAAGTTGAGAGGCTCAGGCCCTAAAACTGCAGCAGTTGCAGTTGCAAACTCGACGGGGAAGAAACTGCTAAAGCACAGGTGGTCGGATAGTACGAAAACGCTGTAAATAAAGTGCAAAACGCAGGTGCCGCCAAGACGGTTTTAACACCTGCAGCGTAACATCTTGTAAACATCAGCAACAAAGATGCCAGCTGTACGTGGGAGGAGCTCGCCAACACCCCTGAAGCCCAGACCTCGGCGTAGGAGGGTTTGCTTTTGAAGTACTCTGTGGTGTGTGCGCACAAGGTGTGGAGATATTGTTCGGGGTGTCCGCGAAACAGTGTCGTGATCATCCCCCGAAAAGCTCCCTCCCACCCAATTTCGAGTTTTCGCCGAAAGCCCCGAAATCCCAAAGTCGAGTTCGCAAAGTGCAGAAGTAGGTTTGGTGACTATATAAGAGGGTCCGACATTACGAAAGTATTTTTAATACCGAGTAAAACGGCTCTTGTGGAGATATTGCTCGGGGTGTATGTATAACAATGTTGTCATCATCCCCCCCACCCACCCTCCCACACCCCCCACCCCCCCCACCCCAATCCGAAGCCCGATTTTCCAAAATCCAGGAGTGGAGTTTGAGGCAAGAAGAAGTGGTATGTCACGACGAACGTACCGTAAACACCGAGTAAAACGGATGTGCTGTTAAGA